ATACCGTACCGTTCGGTTGAAGAGCGGTCTTTAGACGTCAAGCTTGACTGCATGGAATAGACACGTAATCCATCAATCGCAGAAGAGAATCAAATTCTGCGTATGCTTTCCGCACGTCGTCGAGCAGATTCGACGACGGAACACGCTCTAATAGTGTTGCAACAGTGGGACCACCCCTACTGATGGGTTGAGCAGTCGGCTCGAAATCGGGCCGACGCGAAAGAGAATCAGCGACGACATTAAGTCGTCCTGGTTTATTCTCGACGGAAAAGTTGTACTCCGCGAAGAAGGACAGCCAACTCGCTATTTGTTGCAAGAGGTGTGGACTTTTTACGTCCGTGCGTAATGATGCATGGTCGTAACAAACGATGAAGAGCCCATCTCTTAAGAGATATGCCAGAAAACGTGGGCAGTGTATATTTCATGGCAATGAGCTCCTTGTCATGCACCGGATAATTCCTCTCAGCTGCTTGCAGCCGACGCGATTGATGACTGACGACGCGCTCATCGCCGTCTGATTCGTACTGCATTAATGTGCAGCCATTTGCAAAATCGCTGGCGTCACAGACCACATGAAATGGTCTTTTTTGGTCTGCAATCGACAACACAGGCGATTGCACCAATCTTACCTTGATGCTTTCAAAGAGTGCTGACACTCAGCGCTCCATGACCACCTCTCGTTTTTCTTTAATAGACGAGAGAGATGTACGGTCATCTCGGCATAGTTGCGCGAGTACTTGTGCAAGTACGCCGCTAAGCCAAGGGACTTTTCGTAGTCTTTTGACGTCGGCTGGTACAGGCCAGTCACTACTCGCCTTGATCTTTTCCGGATCCGGGCGTACGCCGTTTTTACCCACGATGCAGCCAAGAAGTGGTATTTCGTTCGCTGCGAATATACACTTCTTGAGGTTCGCGAACAACTCATGCTCTCGCATTGAAACAAAAACCTGCCGGACGTGGATTCTATGAACCTTTACGTCTGTCTTTCCATACATATCCCGGCTACGGACGAAGCCATCGTCAGAGTAATTCGGTGCGAAATCGCGCACCGATTGCAACATATTCGTAACACATCTGTTAAACGTTGCGGGGGCGTTACTTAGCCCCTGTGGCATCACTAGCCACTCCCAGAGCATACCACTGGGGGTGCTCACTGCGGTATAGGGTATATCCCGTTCACGCATGAGAATATGATAGAACCCATCCGTCAATCCATGGACGAAAAAATGGTGCTCTTTGCTTACCATCTATGATGATGTCCTTTCTTAGGATCGGCGCTTGAGCCGGTACCGTTGCAGATTTCAGTTTGTTGAACGCGTACACTATCCGCCACCCTCCTGAGGCCTTTCGCACATAGAAGGTCGGAGAGATATGTGGGGATGTTGATTCCCTCACATGTCCCGCAGCTAATCGATCGGCAAAGAATTTGTCGATCGCTGTTACCTGTTCACGAGACATTGGCCACTGCTTCATGACACAGTATTTCGAACCGGGTTTCTGTTTGATCTCATGCCGAGTGCCTTTGTCTTTGGGCAGATCGCATGGCACGGATTCCGGGAAAGCATCTCTAAATTCCTCCGAATCCTTATACAAATGATTTGTCGTCAAAGACTCCCAAGATTGAGGCGCGTATCGCTTAATCCGGGTCTTCTCATCGAGGACACCCTCGTCCATAGATGAGCTACTGAGAACCCGTTCGTTCTCAGCAAACACTTGTGCCGACCGTATATCGGCGACTTACTCGTCCTCTGTGAAAAAAAAGTACGGGATCTGCTTGATCTTGTCACTACGCAGATCTCGCACGAATCTTTTAGATTCTAGCGTTGGCAACTTGAACACCTCCTAAGCTGACTTCGGGGGCGTCACCAGATCAAGGGTATAAGCGCCTGCACTTGATCCGTCATTCACCAAGACATTCACTGTCTCGGTGATTTCGTGGGAAACACAGTCGCAGGTGGTTGGGGATTCACACCTTCAGCATAACTCTCTCGGAAGTTAGTGCTCTCAGGAACGCCGGAATTTCCTTCCATTACGTGTACTATCACGGTCACGTCCTCTTCGATCGGCTGTCTTTCAGTCGATCGGGCTTGCTCTAAGATCGACTCTCTGTTGGTCGATCTCACTTCAACGTGTTGTTCATCCCGAACAACACTTATCTCTCTTCTCGGATGCACCATTTTTGGTGTGCATCCATGTTCCAGTCCACTCGATCTCTTCGAGTGGTGAACCTTCGGCGCAGCCTGTGTCTCTACACGGGTGCAGGAAGCTGGTTCCACAGTGTAGTGGTCTTCTACACTGTAATTTTGTGCAGTCATACTAACGAGCCTACCACAAGTGAGGCCATCGCACTCACTCGTAGTACATCCACACGCTTGTGTACGTTCCAAGCCGTTTATCAGATGTCCATCTAATGAACAAACAGCAAGCATCTTCACGGATCGATGCTGCCAGCTGGTCCATGGCTGGTATTTTCTAAGCCATGGCTAAACGAGGATGACATCAAATTTGTCATCCAAATATAATACGATAACGTCATCATCGTACTGCTTTCCTTCTAGCGTGTAGTGGGAATCCACTACACGTTTGTTCACTGTTACGGATGACCTGTAGCAAGGCACACCGTCATCCTCGTCGGAGGGAACTCTCGCTCAACATAGGTGAGCCTACTATCTTATAGCAACTGGCGTCGAATGAAACTGTTCGACGCCCCACAGTCAACTAGGGCGCGAAATGACATTCCACCTGTCACTTCGATCTTCAAAGTGATGAGGGACTCCTCATCACTAGGGGCAGTAACACACAGCGACTGTGTGTCGGGAGCAATCTTCGTCAAGAGTCATGCAAATTCTCTTGACGTTGCTGGATCAGCAGGGTGCTCCGCCCCTACTGACCCGGTCCATTTTTTTACGGTCCGACTTGCTGTCGCGATTTAGCGCCATGGTCGGATCCGCGCCTTGTACCTTTCCTCGGCCAACGGCGGTCATCACGTCCTGTTTTCGGACGTGTCGCAGTGCTTGGGACACTACACTCAAGAACTTAGTATCCGATCTTCTGACAGCAATGTCACCTTGCCGATCACTTGTGACTCAGAGAGCGAGAGTTCTCGCTCTTGATGTAACAGAGGTCCATCGGTTCAGGACCTCCTATTTCCTGTTGCCTCGTTGGACGATAGTTTGATGAGTTAGCCTGAAACTGTCTTAGGCTGAAGTATTCTTGTTCCACATACGCTATCACCTTTTCCAGCGTATGGAAGTCCTCTCAGAACATGTAGGTCTTCACCGGCCCATCTTCAAGGCCGTAGATTAACACGTTGATTAACGTGTGCTCATCAACAGGGTTTTTCTTGACGCTATTCGCAAGGTAGCACATGTGTTATGCGTAAGCATGCACATCACGTATACCTTGCTTGCGCCTCAAGAGTGTGCTCTGAACTTGGCTCTTGGCGGCTCTACGTTTTCTTTAAGCCGAGACTTCAAGATCTCTAACGACTCAAACACGTTTGGGTTGTGAAGCTTGAGCCCTGAGGCCACGTCTTTGCTCGTCCTGTCGAATTTGACAGGTCGAAGGTGACTTGCATCTTCTCACCCTCGATGTGACGGGTCCTGATGGCGTCGAACTCGACGAACCATCTCAAAAGGGAAACTTCATCGGTTCCCTTGTACCTTGAGATATCAATCTTCAAGTTTTCGGGTCGACGCATGTGCGTCGGCTTATTCATCGACTGATGAGAGCCTTGCTGTTGTAGCAAAGATATCTTCTGTCTTTCGACGGCAAGTTCCCCTTGTAGGAACTTGTTAATAGCAGCATGTTGCTGGTCTCTGCTTAGAGACTCCAACATACCACTGATGGCGGGTTCGCCCACGATCTCAATTATGCGGCCGACTAATTGCCAGTCTAAGTCACCCAAATGGGAGTAGCCTTCACGTGTGACTTAAAAGATGTCTTTTTCTGCGTCCAACATGTTCATGTTGGACGGACTACAAAGTGCTACCAGGTGCAACGGGCACCCTTTGTTTGGGGTGCCGCGAAACTTCACGTACACTGGTACGCGCAGAGGAAGCTAAGCTACTTGGACGACTCGATCAAGTTAAGGTAAAATTAGAACTGTATTTAATACAGTTAAGCTATTAATGTAATTTCAATTATTTTTCTAATTATATTATTCTACATTATTGTATGACGACAACCTACTCACCACTCATTACGCGTGTCTAGCAGCGATTGGTGGTAATCTATGGTTGGTATGTCTAAAACAACCAATCTTCGAGCAGCACATATGAATGTTATCCTGAATAACAATATGTGTTAGAATATTACCTATCTCGTGTAGAATTGGCACGGAATTGTCACGCGAGACAACTTCCGTATTGATACCGTTTGGTGTCAATATCATGTAGCGGGCTGCCCCGTAACATGAAGTATCATGAGACGCAATGGTCGTCGTTTTAAAGAGTTCACAAATTTTGGCTGGACCGATGGTCGTTTGAAAGACGGCGTGAATCTCGGCCGAACCGATGTGCTCGTCTTCCACAATTTCCATTTGCCCGTTTGCCGGGTCTCGGGTACATAAATTAGAGGCCACACGATCGGTCACACGTTGGCTACAAAATATCCAGAAAAAAGAGATTTCGCGTTAAAGACCGTTACCGGATGCCGTCATTTATGTAACACACATAACAAAGAGTTCATTCCTTCGGTCAGCTCTCGCGATTTCAACAGGCACTTGTGAATGTGAGCCGCCCTTTTAATGTTCGGTCCTTATCGGGTTCTATTCTCGACGACGTCAGTTGCTGGTGATCAAGCAGATTCGCAAACAATTGTCCAGATGGATCAACGCTACAATCGCCAGGTAATATACTTATTCAAGTCAAAATGACTTCACAGCCATACTACATGTCCAACATGCCCGTGCGCGCTAAATGGACGCGGGCAATACCAAACTTGTACCAGAACAAGCAAAGAAACGTAGCGCCAATTATGACGCCCAGGTCGGGACCACATCATTGTCCATCAGCGGTCTGGCGATTGCTCTGCTCCATAAAAGCCTTCATGGCTGACAGCACTGTAGTGGTAAGCACCTGTCGGTCTTTCTCACGCTCCTTCTCGCGCTCCTCGCGCTCCTTTTCACGCTCCGTTTCGCGCAGTTCACGCTCCTTTTCAAGCTCCTTCTCACGCAATTCACGCCCCCTTTCCAGCTCCTTCTCGCGCAATTCACGCTCCAATTTAAGCTCCTTCTCACGCAGTTCTCGCTCCTTTTCGCGCACCTCGCGCTCCCTTTCCAGCTCCTTCTCGCGCAATTCACGTTCCTCTTCGAGCTCTTTCTCACGCAGTTCTCGCTCCTGTTTGCGCACCTGACGCTCCTTTTCTCGCTCTTCACGCTCCAGCTTGCGCTCCTTACGCTCAAGATCGAGCTCCCGCTCTCGCCGTTCCGCCTCCAGGCGCCGGTCTTCGCGCTGAAGCAACACCATTTGCTCGACGGCCCGATTCTGGTGCTCGAACAATTTTTGAAGAAGAGTCTCAAATTCAGCGATGCTAGTAGGGCTAATAGCGTTCACCACTGCTGGCTTCGTCGCTTTATTCGTCGACGTTAGAGGACTCGTGGGCTGTAAATCGTACATGTTTTGGGCGATGATGGTCCGGGGTGCAACAGGTGACACTTCGGAGACCGTGGAGCTCAGCGAAGATAAGTCGCTATGAGTGCTGGTTGAATCGTGGCTTCTTGACGTACGATACACGTTCCGTTCTGGTACTGCATTACCCGATTTCGCGACAATTGCGACGTTTTGTGCCAAAAGAGCAGCACTTGCAGGGTTCCCCCCCTCCAGTAAAGTCACCAATTCCGTCATAAGCACTTCAAGTTCACCTGCTGGGGTACCTTTTGATCCCACAACACGTCCATTGTTCCGTTTGACGCGCTCACGGTACTTTGACACAAGGTTCTCGAAGCGGTAGCGCACAACTGGGCCTTTAATGCTGTCCTTTGAAAATTCCGGGTTAGTGTCCAGTTTGGTCGCCACATCATCCCAAGCCGCCGAAATCGCACCAAACTTAGCACGAAAAGGCAGCGACTGCTTCACGTACTTAGCAAGCAAGAGGTCATCACGAGGCGTGAACCGTTGGCGGGTAGCCTTTGTCACAATGGGCAACGCCTGGTCCTCCGAGCCAACGAGGAGAGAGGTAGATGGAGGAGGCTGCGGACCTAACAGCGACGGAGCAATCGCCACATGTGAAGGTTCCTTTGACAGTTTTTTCACTACAGGATCCAGAGCCCCGGTCGACTGGACCTTCCGAGGCCGTCCACGCTTCCCCAACGTCTGAGTCACTGGTTCTGCTTCCGCAGCGTCCAATTTGGGTATGATCTGCATCATAACGCTCTGGAAAGCGGCGTCGTCAGACGGTGCATCTTCCGGTTTGCTTCCGCTCTTGATCCAGCTGCGATGGCGACCAACGAGACGCTCAAAGCGGTTCTTGGCGATGGGTCCCTTGAGATGGTGCGTCTTGAAAGCGCTGCAGCCGTTGAGGGTCGTGGCGACCTTCTCCCATCCAGCCATCAGCCCTCCATTCGGGGCACGGAAGGGCTGGTCGGTATTGACCTGCACTACCAGGAGGTAGTCCTGATTCGGTGCGAAGCGCTGGCGACTACGAGGCATCAGTGGTGGAGACACGCGCACACTTCGGTGGGAGAGATCTCGCTTTTGGATCTTTGGTCGGTCGGAGCCGTTGAAACGCCTCTATAATCGCATATTCGAGATTACACGAGTTAGAAGAAGTCCGGTTTTGTGGAATAATAAGATAGGATTTATCTACAAAGTGCGCTCTGATCAGACATTTTCGATATTATAACGTGAAATCATGCACCAGTTAAATTTAAACGTGAAAATCGATTACGCTTCTTGTTTCGATCGTTGCTGTAGGCGGCTGATGATCATATCTGAGTGAGACCGTAAAGCGGGATGTTCAGTAGCGATTGCTGAATGGGGGTAAGCACAAAAAAACACGTAGTCAAGTCGTCAGCAGCTTTGATGAGATACGAAATGACTGGTGCAATGCAGTGCGCCCGCAACGCACCGTTGACTGCAGCGAATCGATCACACAGCCGCACTCCACAACGTGTCCACCGAGCTGCTCGACAAGCTCAACCGTAATCTTTAGTGTCTTGCCCTAGCAATAGAAATAGACAGAATCATGCTCGAGTAAGCAATATTCTGCATCAAGATGAGGAATAGAGAGGGGATGAACAAGGCACGTTGTTATCCAAACTGCCGCACCGATGCCACGAGATCATCAACAATCACAACGCGATCTCCGCTCGTAATGGCATCCTGGTGAATTTCCATGCGACCGGTGTGGAAGCCAGAGACGTAGTCTACTCCCACGACATCACCTGGCAGTCGACGAGCGCGACGGACTGGCACAAAAGCCACTTGAAGGGCTAGTGCTAACGGAGCACCAAAGATAAATCCTCTCGACTCGCAGCTTACCACGTGCGTGATCCGCTGGTTGATGTATCGACGTTTCAGAGCATCAATGACGACTTGAAAAGCCACGGGATCCAGCAATAGGGACGTGACGTCGCTGAAGTTTGCACCAGGATTGGGAAAGTTACGGAACACGCGAATCTTTTGCTTGATGTAGGCAGAGACCGCCTCGTCATTCGCCAAGTCCACGGGCACGTTATTGGCGCTCATTTTTAGGCTTTTGCGCGGAGAAATAAAATACTGGCAATAAAACTTGTAGTTTTAACCAATCGTAATGTAAAAACTTTATTCATCCATTCGATGTTTGCAGCAGGGCGACAAGCAGGTTCGACCGATGAATCTCAAGACGCTGCGGCAGCGGACGGAGGTGCTGGACAGAGTGCAGGTGGTAGGTCGATCATTATGGAAAGCTGCTGTTCCTTCTCAATTATTGTGTAATTTTGTGTGTATATGCTGTAGATTGGCTGAGCATTGGCAAGAGTTTCGCGACCGGCAAGCGCGAAGAAACGACGAATTTGAGTCAGGTGGCAGAGCTGTTGGAGTCGGCAATGCAGGTCCAGTTATCGACACGTGTTAAAAAAAGCAGCAAGAAAGAAAAGACAAAGCACAAAGAGAAGAGGCGACGCAGCGACGAAGAGACAACGACTGAGCCATCGCAACACTTTTTAAAGCTGCACAAAAAGAAGAGAAAGAGAGAAAAGAAGGAGAAAAAGAGCAAGAAGAGACAGGAGTCGTCAAGTTCAGGTGAACGCAGTGATAATAGTGTACCTCCTTGCACAAAGTACCGCTCTGAGCGGCGCCGACAACGCGGTCGCAGTCGATCGCGCTCTCAACCTCAATCTCGGACCTGCCTTCGCCGCTACAATGATGCCGGCGATATGTCCGGACACCACGGACAAGTAACTTTGGGTCAAGATAAAAAACTGTTTGAATTTGACCGCATGGGGGATTGCGACAACAAGCACTTTGGATCGACGTACGTCCGTGATCAGCCGCTCTACCAATTGGCCACACGACGAAACCTGCTTACAGGCGCATGGGAAACCCAAGAATCAACTTATATCCATCTTACGAAAAGCGAAACAGACTCTGGTCGATACTTCTCGCTGCAGGCACGGAAGTTGGAGAGAAACGCCCGACAAAGACGTCTGTATCTTGCTTACGCGGAGAAGCGACAAGCGCAGGCGGTGCGTAAAGGGGTCGACTTGGATTCGACAGGTGCTAAGAATGAGAGCCGACCAGGTGAAATGACTTTTATTCCGTTGGATCCGGTGCTGGACATTGATGCGCTAGTTAGCACTAGTACTGGTTACGATGAGGTTGTTGACGATACACCTTTGCTTACCACCGGACAAAGCGTTGAGCAGCATCTGGTGAGACGCAGCAAAACGCTTAATGCTGCTATAGCCGCAAACCCACAGAGCAGTAGTTGCTGGCTCGATTTGATGGCTTTTCAAGAGCAGACGATTGATCTCCACACGAAGCCGAATATGCATCTTGCTACAAAGACGAGCATTTTAGAGAAACAAGCGGTGATACTAGCACGAGCGCTTGCTGTTAATCCTCAGTCACGGGAGCTGCACCGTGTAAAGCTGAACATGTTATTGCAAACTACAGCAAAGGGAGAAAACAGTGATGTCGACTTAATACAGCTGCAGATAGAGGGTCTCCTATCTGAAGACCCAGCGAACAGTGAACTGTGGCTGAAGCTCCTTCAATGTCGACACCAACGATTTAGTGACTTCTCTGTGCGGTCCGTGCGCGATTTGTACGCACGCATACTAACAGTATTGCGAGCACAAGGTACGAGATATGACAATGCGGCAGCTGCATCGGCACTTCCTGCTCCGAATTCGAGTGGAAAGAGTGGATTCATGGTGTCAGCCACACGTGTGGAAGATTTATCGATCGTGTTACTCGATTTTCACTTCCTGATGTGCATATTTGAGAAAAAAGCAGGTTACGTCGAACGCGCAATTTCTCAGCTCCAAGCTCTGCTTGATTTTGGTATGATGGTTGACAACAGTAATGGCAAAGAAACCCATGCTGATAAGCTGCGGAAGTTTGCCATCCATTGGAATGATGGTCACGTTTTAAGAATTGGAAGCGAGCGCTTGGAAACAACTAATTCGAATATTAAAATGCTGGAAGAAGATGAGCTAGAGACTTCTATCAGCGCGTTAAGAGACTACGTCTATGAAAAGTGCGTCACTACTGTCGATCAAGTAAACCCTTCAAACACTTTGCGCTCGAATGAACACAAGCAGAACTTGCTCTCGTCCGCAGCAGTGTACCGAAGGGGCTCTCAAACAAAGTCATCATTGGACCCTGGGACAATCGAACAAGAAGCGAACGAAATTGTGCCGGCCTCAGTGGAATTGGCAGCAAGTGATAAAGCAAGCACAGAGTCGAAAATAAGCAGCACGCCGGTTTACAGCAATTTACACGGGTACCGCATAATTGTCGATGAGGCTGACGATTCGAAAGAATACGAGCGCATTCTAAACGAATTACGGGGTACGGAAAATTCACGTGCTCGGCAAAATCGATTTTTGGAGCAACAGAAGATGCGGCATGTGGTGCTCGCTGCAGCACAAGCGCGGGTCGAAGATCAACGTGCAAGTTACGATCAGGTTTATGAGGATGACCTTTTCGTGCGATGGCTTGTGCGTGAAGAAGCACAAATGCAAATGCAATGGGACCCACTGCTGTGTAATAATTTATTGCACCAGGAACGTATTGAGCAGCAGCCTGATCGGGCTACTTTAACGGAGGAAGTCCAGCCATTTCTGTTTTATGTTCCACCTGCGCATCGATGGCGGATTATCGCTGAGTTGTTGCAAATCTGCGGCGTTTTTGGGAGAAGCAAGCAATTGTGGAGTACTCACTTTTCAGCGTGCGACTCAATATATGCGGATAACTATTCAGATTACGAGCTTCTTGCAGGTCCGATTTTATCTGTGTTAAACCTTCAGGCAATTGATTCTAGCAAACCTGCACTGTTTCTTAATCCAGCTGATCGGACGAAGCTCCTCGAGGATGCGCTTCTTGGCAGCATTGATGTGAAGCAAGATGCGTTGCGTGATCCTAGCAAGGTAGCATTTGTACGCCGAGTCTTTGCGCAAGCGTTGGATATCTTTCACGACGTTGATGGTACTTTCGAAAGCAAATTGAAATGCTGGTGGATTGGCTTCGAAGCTAAGGTTGCTTGCATGGTCCAAGGAGATAGTATTGTGACTGCTCGGCGCTTGAGTCAGAATCTGGCTCAGAAGTCTGCGAATAGCGACCCCGATTTCGATGTTCTTCATGCTTATGCCAAGCTAGAGCTTACTATGGGAAATGTAAGTCAAGTACGACGTATCTGTGAGAGTACTTTGCGCTCACTACAGAATCGATTTTCAAGCGATACCTCGTTGTCCAGGGTAATTCATCGCTTTGTGTTTCTGCACGCGCGGCTGGAAATGTGGTCATCGGCCATCAAGAGTTGTGCTAGCGCGGACTACCAAACGCTTCGGTGTTTGTATACTCTGTGGTTCGTATGGCAACCAGTACATGAAAACAGCAACGAAATTGCAACGCTGTCTTCGAAAAGGCACAAGAAAAGAACCCAGGAGTACTTACAGAGGCTCTTATTGTCAAATCCATCGATTAAAACCAATTTGGTTGCCAAATACCGGGTGGAGCTTCAGTCCGCCCTTCGGCATTGCGCCGCATCAAATTTAGCAGGTTCAGAGATCGGCAACGAGAAGCCTGCATCGCACGACCAATTGCCATGCTGGGCCGGGTACTGTCTGCATAACTTGGCCCTTGTCGTTTACATTTCTCACGGATTCGAAGCAGCTTGCCGAGAGTATCGAGTGGTGTTGGCTAATACTGAACACCAGACGTGTTCCCAGGTTGCATGGATATGGACCTGCTACTTGGAGTTCATGCAGCAGCACCAAGTATCAGGCTCGTTTCCCGCGCTCGCACCTCGCGAATGGCGCCAGTCAGTTTATGATGCAGTGGATAAGTTTCCGCTCAACGAATTATTTCTTCGGCTATTTGTTGATTCTGAGGCGGGAAACACTATTTCACAGGTGCATCGCACGTATTTAGCGCAGATTGAAAAGCGCTGGAGACGCCATTTTGATTCACCAAAATTGGTTGAGTGGCTGTTTGCGCTGCTTTGTGAGTTTTGCCGCATTGAGCGGGCCGTGACGCTCAAGAAGTCTGCCGTGAACAATGACAACTCTGCTCGTCTGGGTTGCTGTCTCTTTCATCACTGGGATATGAATCTGGCTGCTGCGAATCGTATCCGCCAAATATTTGAAAGTATGGTTCGCCAGATTCAGACAAAAGGCAATGCGCTCTGCTGGAGGTTGTACATGCGCTTTGAGGTAGCACTGGGAAAGGTTGATGTGGCGAAGAAAATATTGTACCGTGGAATTGCCGCTTGTGCATGGAGCAAGGCGCTTTATATGGATGGGTTACGCGTGATGCGTGCGTATTTGACTGAAGCCGAATGCAAGGAACTTCTCGATTTTATGGAGTCAAAGGAGCTGTATTTACGCGTCGACATCGAAGAAGAATTCGACAACTAGTATGTTAGAAAAAAGAGCACGAAGACACCTATAATTTTGCTGGGGCAACGAAAGCGTTAATGCGCAGACATCCACCAAGGAAATTTTAGGTCAGCTTGGCAAGCGAATCAGATAAGCTGGTAGGCCTCCTCACACGGTTGTTGAAGACCCCACAACTCCGGTTGAGCATACGTGAGTTTAATGACTTCGACGCGGTTTTTGCTGAATTACATGCGGTAGACCACGTTTGTTATTGCACCGATACAAGCGCAACGGGTCTATCGCGTCACATTTAACTGTACTCTCCACATACAATCGAGCCGTCCGTCTTTTCATCAATTATCTTTGGCGTATCAATGTCCGCGCGTCACCATGTGGTAGGTAGCATGAGATGGTCGCGCTACGGAACAATTTTGTAAACATCAACAACCAGAATTTAGATCTAGTGGTCGAAAGCGTGCTTTCCATTCTGTACACTCTGGAAGCTGCTGACGCTTTCAAGAAGTCGACCGGATATCTGATCAGGTCCAATGGATGCTTCTTGTACCCCGGATAGTAGGCTGGATCGACATTAGTCCTTTTTGTGCTTCGCTCGGTTTCTTGTGTGACAAGCTAGCGCAAGATGTGATGAACTTCCACTCAAAAATTGTCAATCACGACCACTTTTCGTACAAGCAGTGTGCTGTTTCTAGATGTGACGACCACAAGTGGCACTTTCGCGTCGCATAAGCTGTCAAAGACAAGCTAAATCACATCAGTCGGGGGAGGGGGAATTTCGACGCGTGTCGTCGAGTTGTCTGCAGTGGACCTGCATGCTCGAAAGCTGCAATTGACTGCGCGTATTGAACAGCAGATTTTGCCATGTGCGAGAGACAATGTGCAAGCAATTACTTGTACACGAGCAACGTTCAGTCTGGGTGGTCGTGATCCTAACGACTTGACATTATGCGCCGTCACATTGCTCATTGACACCAGCGTCCACCTGGATCCAACGAATTGGTCTCCTACATCACGATTGCTGAATGGAAGATGCTTTCGCATTTTTGTCATTTTGTCTTTGTCCGCGTTTTGCACGAGACTTGTACCCTTTGGAGGAATGTTGTATCCAGAGACACAACTTGTGACAAAGCAATTGGTACTGCGGTTGCAGTAGTTATCACGTACAACGGTCGAGAAATCCGGTAGCTTAGAGAATCGCAAGTGTATATTTGCGCTTGTAGGTTAGGACTAGCGTAGGACTTAGCGAGATAGCCACTTCGTCGAGAATAATGTCAGGGTTATATGTTGCAAAGGAGCTAATCATTTTGAATGATAGGAGTACGTATTATGTCGTAGTATGCGTAAACGCAATTGAAAAGCAGTAAGTTGGAGCAATTCGCGCTTGACAGGGAGTGATTTACTTCTAAATTGCGAATTCACATGGACTGAACATGGCTCAATCCAGTTAAGATAGGGGAGAGCGTTCTGGAGCTCGCCCTTTGATATTTGTAATCCATTTCGTTAAACTGAATCAAGTTGCAAAACACTACACAACAGCATCAGTCACTGAAGAATAAGTATGCAGTCTAGGCCATAAATTTAGGGTCACCCATTTATTTTTTTACTCCGAATTATACAGCTAGTACGAATTAAGCGGTTATTTAATCATGTTAGGCGCACGGGAGCGAATTTTCGCGCACTTGATGGCGCAAGCACGAGCACCTACACTATATGGTACTATGATTCAGCTACTATCGTTGCCATATTACACTTTTCTATCGCCAATTGCGCAACAATGCCGGGCAAACTCCGTTTACTTCGACTTACTTCGCGCTTCTTTCAAATTAAAGTATAAATGAATGAATGATACCCTGAACATTTAACAAACATTCTTTATGCTAAAAATAGGGAAACGTTAACCACCCCCAGATTTTCGTTAACCACCCCCCACCCCCTATATATTACCGTAATATATATACCTTCCATATTTTTGATTGATTTTAGATAAATTATCATATTGCTTAAAACTGAAAGCCAATTTCAACACAATAATTGCATCATGTAATCGCTTACATGCTATTTTTTACAATTGTTGAATAATTTCTTTTAGCGCTTAAACACCGTAGTCTGTCATTCTTATATGGCTCTGCTACCACCTCCTGAAACTACATACGATACGCTAGAGGAAGCCCGAAATGCACTTTATGAACATGCAAGAGCTCAAGGCTATGTCCTAACGATCAAGCATACCAAGAAGGTGGGCAATAGGAAAGATGGCGCAATTAAACTTATTATTCTATGGTGTTCACAGGGAAATAAATACAAGCCAGTTGCTGTTAACGAAGTACCAGAAACGAGTGCGATCAAGCGCATAAGGGCTAGTAGAAGCACTGGGTGCCGTTTTGAAGCTGTCATTCAACGCATAGATGAGCTCTGGCACGTTACAGTCATTAGAGAAAACCACAATCACGATGCATTTGATGACTCCTCTGCACATCCAAATGGTCGCGCGTTGAACGAAGAGGCTCGCGAGCGAGTTCTCTTATTGACCAGTGCTGGTGTCAAACCTGGTACTATTGTCGCTTCTCTCCGCAATGATAGCAGCATAAATGTCAAGATATTTCAACGTCCGTGACAATGATCGCGCTCTGAAGCTACTAGGTAGAGCACCTCTAATGAATGCCTTTGTTACTGTGTCCATCCAGGATAACTGCAGTATCTGACATGTCAATTATCACACGTCGCCGACTTATAGACACGCATCAATAATCTAGATTTAGTATTTCATCATTTGTAAATGAAATAGTAAATTACTGCTTAAACCGGTGATTTATTCAATTCTACCAATCGGAACGCGTCTATCGAGTAAATTACGGTAATATATAGGGGGTGGGGGTGGTTAACGAAAACCTGAGGGGTGGTTAACGTTTCCCTAAAAAATTGTATCTTCGGTGTGGCCGTGCACTTTATACTGAGTGCCAAAAAGCGGTTTTAGCATGTAAACAATGCCACCAACAAAAAAGTGGGCGTTAACACATAAGGGTAAAAAATAAAGATTTGAGCAAATCATAATCATATAACAGCGCCCAACTCGTACGAGCTATGGAGTTATGAGTAAAAATACGGGTGGTCGTATTTTTATGGCCTGGACTGTAATGCTGTTTGTGTATGTATTGACCCATTATAGCAGGTTAGAGTAACGCAATCGGCCTTTTGTTTATGAGCGTCCAGCATCAACTTATGTCATCGTATTCACCATGATCGATTCTAAAGCAATTACATGCGTGCGTCAATTTATTGACCTAGCTAGATTGTAGCGGAGCTACACAGCTCCTTGAGTCAGAGGAAGACTTAACGCTCTACGAGCAACTTAGTTCCAAAGAACTAACGACTTTACGAGTCAACAAGCTTTACAGCTTCAGATCCCTGTTCCAGGGGACCTAACGATTCAGTGAATCGACAGCAATCAGTGCTCAAGAGTAGATACCTCAAGGAGGTGTTGCTAACTCTTAGTGATCAGTGATCAACGATCAAGACGGCTCGCAAGCCACGTGTCCTTCAGATCAAAATGGGAACTGATTTTTTTTTGTTAACGCTTATAGAATATCTCAATCCTAATCAAAGATCTTTCGTACCTAATGGCTGACACTCGTCAGCCCCTACAAACCAATAAGATATTCTGTATCACATTCACAAAGGGGCAACCTCAGTTGTGTAACACCTCTGGTACAAAGTACCATAATTTCGTGCAACCCCGTTACACCCTCCCCCACCAGACTGACGTTCGCCAAAACATCAATCGAAATTGTGTTATCAGCGAGAACAGTGCGCGTGCGGTGAACCTCACGGTAACGTACGCTCTAGCACGATGTCCTCATCACCAAACGAGTCAAAGGCTCTGTGTGACTACCTCGGAATAGAGGAGGAGGTGGACTATGGTAGCGATACCAGTGTCCGCGGTGATACAGGGACAATGTCCGGCTCACTGATGCCTGTGGCACAACCTTTGAACACCCCAAATCCGTTCGCTGAACGTGGAGATGCGAGCGCGCCATCAGCGCAGCATGCAGCATCTGGGTCTGATGAGACCATCATCACGAACCCGCTCGATGAGCAACAACAATTGATCGTCCAAAGAGAAGACTACGCTCAGTCACGCTGTCGTTCAAGGGTTGCAGCCATTTGTACATAACGCTATGTGTTCACCCCACCCAGTGTGGACAAACGTCTACGTCAAGCGGCCGGCCAAACCTTGGCAACGTGGGTCATTTGCCAAGGGCCTAGGACTCCTGAGGAGGTGGTGAGCTGCCAGTCACTTCGTGAGAGGTACCTGGAGCCGCACCTAACGACTCAAAGTCAATACAAGGCACGCCTTGACGTGCAAGCACGTGCTGCACCGGTTCCACCGATCAAGGGTATACCCATTCTCTTGCTCGCAGGCGAAACAGTGAGCGAAGAAGACGATGCCTTCGTTCACTGGGTGCACTATGTGCGTCTCCTCAGCAACATTTTCGCTCTAAGGGCTAGTGCCCATGCGGCGGATGTGCATCTCGAACGCAAGCTTCGGTAGGATTATGCCAAGCTTAAGGCCGGAGGCCAATTGCGCAAGCGCACGCGCTATGCTTCGGCTACTAAGGTTGCCGCGAGTGCTGGTCAGTCTGTGGCCAACAACCCGCCAACCCGCACCACTAGTGGTGGGGACGGCCTCGGTCTCGAGATTACCATGGCCACGATGCTCAAAAGCCTCCAAAGCATATGGGCAGTCTTGCCGAAGGGGTACCTCAAATTCCTATGAGTTTTCAGACTCAGGATATCCACGCCACTTTACCAGATACTGGTATTGGCCCTGACGACGACGTCGTTTCAGTAGTCTCTCGACATGAAATTGACGACACCCATGCTCATCGAGCAAAGTCGGTGGCGGCCGGTGTACCGGTGGAGGCCCACGAGAAATTGGTTCTCGAAGAGAAGGGTCTTCAAGAGGCCTTGGGTAAGTCCCAGTGCATGCTGGATGCGATGCAAAGCCGCCTTCAGGCGATGGAGCAAGCTCAAACTCGGAGCGACGCTCAGTTGGACTTGCTGATTCGTTTACAGCAATCCGGGGCAAGCCCTTGTCGTCGGCGCAAGCGCCTCCAAGTTCACATGGGAAGGATCCCGGTACGGCTTAAGTAAGCCTACGTAGAACACTGGATGTGTGCGCAATGCGCGCGGGAGGTTTAGCGTATACGCAAGTCCCTTCTTGGCCGTGACCGTAAACGGTCCAATAAAGCGTGGACGCAACTTTGTCTTAAAGACAGCAGACACTACATTTGTAGGTAGATTTTTAGCATTGAGTAGTACTTGGTCTCCGACCTCATAACGTTCTATACAATTTCTGCCTTTGGCATCAGCTTGTTGTTTTTGGGTATTTTGGCTATCAGCCATTGCGTCACGCACATGTTTTAAGACATTTAATCGCGTTGCGAGAAACTCGCCTACCTGTTTTTAAGCAGTAGCAGGACTGATATCAGCAATCCGATCGGCAACCTCTCCCCCACCAAGCCCTGATTCACGTATTGATAGCGTTAACGGAACGCGAGGGTGAGTGAGACCGTTTATTTAGAACGGAGTAAAGCCTGTTGAGGCATGAACAGCATTATTCAACGCAAACTCAACAACAGGGAGCATTGAGCTCCAACGCCTAGGCTTATCAGCGCAAATACTGCGCAAAATATCGTTGATGACACGGTTAACACGCTCAGTCTGACCTTCGGTCTGCGGATGATCCGCTATGGACATGTCCAACCGAGTGCCAAGCACCTTGAAGATAGACTTCCAAAACTTCCCAGTGAAGCGGGGGTCTCTATCAGATATAATTGCCACCGGCAAGCCATGTTGGAGAAACACACGGTCGATAAAAAGCTTTGCTGTACCTTCAGCATCGATGCTATCCGGCACAGCCGCTAAGTGAGCCATCTTGATGGACCGGTCAACAAATACCACAATACCAGTGTTGCCTTCCGAATCTTTCGGTAGGCCAAACACAAAATCCATGCTCATGGACTCCCAACAACCAGTGGGTACTGGCAAACTAGCCAGCGGCGCCGCCGCATGTGCCGAGGGTTTTACCCGTTGACACGTTTCGCACGTACGCACATAGGTGCGCACCCACTTATAAAGTTTGGGCCCCCAATAACTTTGGCTCACCGAGCTATAAGTCTTCTCACGACCGAGATGACCACTTGAAGCAGTATCATGTGCCTCATAGAGGATTTGATACTTTATTTCCTCATCATGAGGTACAGCGATACGAGGCTTATCCTCAATATCCGTGCGATAGCACAACAGGCCATTATCGATGGAATATCGATTTAGCCTCGCACGTAAACGTGCCGACAATTCTATGTCCGAGTCTTTAAACTCATCGCTTCCAAGAGCACGTAGCAAAGCTACACACTGATCATCCTTGGCATATGCCGCACGAATTAAGTCAGGGACTGACGACGACAGAGTCGTAACATGAGCAGGCTTATAGTCAGGTCGACGCGATAGCGCATCAGCCAAATCATTTTACTTACCTGGCTTGTACTTCACCTCGAAGTTTTTTTCGGCAAAGAAGGAATGCCAACGAGCCATTCTCTGTGAGAGATGAGGCGACTGTGTCGCAGTGCGTAATGACGCATGACCTGTATAGATCACAAACGGCTTGGATCCAAGCAGATACTCTAAATTTGACAAGAGCGTACTTCATAGCAAGTAGCTCTTTGTCATAGACAGGATAGTTCTTTTCAGTAGCTTTCAGCTGCCGAGACTCGAATGCGATGACGCGTTCGCGTCCGTCGACATCTGATTGTAACAGAGCACTGCCTATGGCAAAGTCAGATGCGTCACAGACGACACTGAAAGGCCGACCAGAATCGGGCAAAGCCAATATTGGCGCATATAGGAGACTCTCTTTAACTGCTTCAAGAGCATTATGTTTGGTGTTACCCCAACACCAATCCACATCCTTTTTGAGGAGATTGGACAATGGCCGAGCCATATCTGCGTAATTCGCACTGTACTTATGTAAGTAATTGGCAAGGCCAAGCCACTTACGCAAGTCCATTTGGTTCTTGGGAACCGGCTAATCGACTATGGCTTTCACCTTAGCGGGATCCATTCGAAGGCCTCGCTTCCCAATGAAGCACCCTAGAAAAGGAATCTCTTTTGCACCAAAGATGCACTTCGATGCGTTAGCATACAACTTATTCGTTCGCATGCACTCGAGCACAGCTCGTAAATGATCAATGTAGTTATCCACATCTCATCGCCCATTCATTGCACGACTATGGACAAAAAAGTCATCAAAGTACGTTTGTGCATAGCCTCGATGAGGTCTAAATAATTGCGTTATCAGCCGGTTGAACGTAGCCGGGGCGTTAGATAGCCCTTGTGGCATAACAAGCCACTCCCAGAGCATACCGCTCGGAGTACTCACCGCTAAACGCGGAATATCACTTGCCCGCATAAGCAGCTGGTGATAACCATCAACTAAGTCGAGTGCACTGTACAATGTACATCCTGCCATATTGTTCTGAAGCACATCCTTACTAGTACAAGGCGTCTGCGCCGGTATAGTGGCTGCATTAAGCTTATTATAAGCATGCACAATACGCCACTTGCCATTTGGCTTTTTGACGAAAACAGTCGGTGTCGAATGGGGAGACTTGCTCTCACGATCCATTCCAGCCGCGTGCTAAGCACGAAAGAATTCGTCAATGACGTCACACTGTTCTTTAGGCAAAGGCCACTGCCGTGTTACACAGTATTTAGTTCCAGGAACTAAGTCATTTAATGACGTACACCTCTATCGGGAGGTAAGGCAGAAGGTGGGTTGTGACGCACCACATCTTAAAATTCCATAACTAAGGGATAGAAGGGATACAAAGGATCTTTAAGGATAGAAGATCCACTTCGTGCACTAAGTGCCGCCTTTGTATCCTCTAGGACAGACTCGTCCATTAACGAGGAAGAATTCAACTCAGTATCAGGTCTAATGACCGCTAACTCGGATAACACTCATGCCTTCAAGGCCTGGCTAAACTCGCCATCAGACATTTCGTCTAGCTCACAAAGAGCGTCCACAGATGGAAGGGTTTCAAGGCAAACACTGATATCAACCTGACCAGTCACTCCATTAACAAGTTTATATAGTGTATTACTATTATCATTATGTGACTGTGAAGACGCCTGGCGCTTAAAAGTTGCTACCCGGCGTCTCGATCGTCTCTTCGAGACCTTACACCCCTTAGGGGTCGGGACAATATTGTCCCCATGGTTACTACTAGCCATAGTACGCTCTATACGAGAGCTTTTGTCTTGACCGACATCCGGTGAAGTGTTACATAACTCGAACACTTCACCCAGTGGATTGAAACGTGCCACTCCAGGTGTATTATGCGGGCCTAGCCCCAAATTTATCGGCGTCTCGCCAATAAGGTCATTACCGACATTAGGTGTGGTGCCCTCACGGCCGTCCACACTATACGGCGTATCGCCAACAGTATCATTACTGACATTAGGTGTGGTGCCCTCACGGCCGCCCACACTATACAACGTATCGCCAACAACGCCATTACCGACGTTAAGCGTGGTGCCCTTACGGCCGTCCACACTATACGGCGTGTCGCCAACAATATCATTACTGACATTAGATGTGGTGCCCTCACGGACGCCCACACTATGTGGCGAATCACCAACAACGCCATTACCGACATTAAGCGTGGTGCCTTCACGGCCGCCCACACTAAATGGCATATGGCCAACAATGTCATTACCGACATTAAGTGCGGTGCTCTCACGGCCGACCGCACTCAATGTAGTTTCACGTGCCACCATACACACATCAAAGGAATCACATCCTTGATCACTCGGCCCTAGACCAACCATGCTTTCAGCATGCAGTGACTCGTTATCACAACGAAAAATACTCAACGGAGTAAGTGCTGTTCCACTAGTTTCAGACGAGCTAGGCTCGAATCTTAGGTTTGTAACATAGGAGTTAGATAACTCAGACATTCCAAAATCCAGCACATTGACATCTTCTGTCAGAGGCTCGCGCCAATAGCGCTTCTCTTGCCTAGCGAAGGTGGTTTCATGACTCTCCAAAGCTTCGCTAGGAATATTGCACGTAGAGCCTAAGGTCTTAGACCTCCAATCAATCCAGGGCTCATGGCGTTTAAGCCAAGCCATACCTAGGATGAGATCATATCTAGAGTTTAAATCCAGGACAAGACAGCGCTCAATACTGTCAAAGTCTAATAACTTTATACCTAAGTTCAATTGAACTTTAGGCACAGCTACGCGACTTCCAGTCGCTAAACGAACCGTGATAGAATCACCCTCATGAGCTGTAAGCGCCTCAGCACAACGCTGACTTCCCTCAAGGGAACGGCGTCGAGCATCATTGCAAGCCGCTCCAGAATCAATCAATATCGACCAAGGCTTCTCAAAGCCCTTAATTTTCGCCTCGGCGACCAACAAGCCAGACTTGTATCCACGCACCATACCTGTTGGTATGGTACTCTTTGGGGCTAAGCCCTGCATTCCTTTACCTTCTAAAGGTGTAACAGAACCTAGTTCTTCCCCAGTAGGGCGCCCCGCGCCTACTGGGTGTCGGCATTTCCCCGTGCCATGCCAGACTTCTGACTCGGGGTCGAGTGTTGGCTTGTAGCCTGGCGTTGCTTACGCAAAGGGCAACCAGGCCGCAAGTGTTTAGTGCTTCCGCACGTAAAACATCGTCGTACGACGTGTTGCTGCTCAGCAGCTTGAAGCTCAGCTTCACCTTCATCTTCAGCATAGCTGAGATCCATCGGTTCCGGCCTATTATAGGCAGTGGTACCCGAATAGTTTGCTCTCACAGAGCGAGGATTTTGTCCATTCCAACCAAGTCTGGCCGACTTGAAGTTATGCTCAGCATTAAGAGCAAGTCTCACAGCCTCTTCAAAAGTAGAGGGGTGAACCCGAAAAACCTCGGTTCTGGCAATGCCAGTACGTAGACCTTCCATGAAGATAGTCACATGGACTGCTTCAGGCAGAGGGTCAGACTGCATTGCAGCCATGAGCGTTCGCAGCTCTTGGACATAGTCCGATAATTCATTCTTGCCCTGGCGGGTAGAAAGAAAGCGTAAACGCACGCGGTAAGCCTGGCTAGGTGGTGAGAACACCTGTACCAATTGTGACTTGAGCGACTCCCATGTGGGAAATGCTATGTTCATCGACGTGCTACACGTCAAGGCCCATTCTCTAGCTCTACCATCGAGCTTCGAGATAGCCATCGATACCTGTTGATGGTCAAGCGTCATCAGTCCTGATCTCATGGCCATCTCAATTCCACGGATCCAGAGGATGAGGTTTTCACCCATCTTACCGGAGTACTTTTTCACTTCCACTCTAAGTGGACGAGGCTTAGCCTCTTCGTCTGGTACAGACACGTAGCGTTTAGGCATGGCCGACGCTATTTGGTCTTGGACCTGCCCCAAAAGGGTCGCTTCATTCTGCATGAAGCGTCAACACGTGCATTGAGCACTTCAGGACTTTGTGAAACAAGGAACTCCACGTACTCTAGACCCAAAGATGCGGTCAGCTTATCAAGCGCGACCTTTTGGGCCTCAGATAGGAGAGTGGAGCTTTCCATCCTCACAGGGGATCAGTCCTAAAGACTCAGGCGTAGATTGAATACTAGTGCTACCAAGTGTAGCGGAGCTACACAGCTTCTTAAGTCAGAGGAAGACTTAACGCTCTACGAGCAACTTAGTTCCAAAGAACTAACGACTTTACGAGCCAACAAGCTTTACAGCTTCAGATCCCTGTTTAAGGGGACCTAACGAATCGACAGCAATCAGTGCTCAAGAGTAGCTACCTCAAGGAGGTGTTGCTAACTCTTAGTGATCAGTGATCAACGATCAAGACGGCTCGCAAGCCACGTGTCCTCCAGATCAAAATGGGAACTGATTTTTTTTTTGTTAACGCATATAGAATATCTCAATCCTAATCAAAGATCTTTCGTACCTAATGGCTGACACTCGTCAGCCCCTACAAACCAATAAGATATTCTATATCACCTTCACAAAGAGGTAACCTCAGGTGTGTAACACCTCTGGTACAAAGTACCTTAATTTCGTGCAACCCCGTTACATAAAGAGTGACACCTATAATGCCGATTTACCTATGAGGGGGGGGGCAGGCTGGATCGTACTTGGTACTGTAAAACCTTTATCAATTGATAATGCTAGGACCTTTGTTCCTGATCACTAAAATAGGTATTATTTTGGAACAAGTTATAGTACTCCTCCAAATAAATATATTATGACTCTTAAGATAAAGGGCAGTTTGAGTGAAAGCAAGGCCTATTTTTTTATAAAAGGTTTTGTAGCTCAGCCGGGTTGGTTTAGCAGCTCTGACCTAAAGGTATCTGGATCGATACCGGTAGGAATATAGAATAAAAGTTAAACATACGGGTCTGGTGTTTGGGGTTCAACAGCACTGTCCTACCAGGCAGTGACGTCCCCCACCTTAGGTACGTGAAAGTATTGTGAGACTCACAGCCAAATTTAGGTACGTACGACTAGACAAATAAGTAATGCGCGATTGGGCGATCAGTAACGCGCGTTGTGGTTATTACCAACGTACCAACGTAAAGGCTGAAAGAATACAGCAGGCTTAAAGTAAGAATACGAGTTTGTGAGTTAAGGAACTTGATATATGCACTTTGCGTTTTACATTCCAGTGTTCAGCCCTAGTTTTCAGTCCTTCCTCCCAATTCCCCTGGAAATACTGAACAGCACATCAGCAATGTAACGGGGTGAATCGTTACATAACAATTTATAAGAAATTGTTAATAGAATATAACTATAAGAGTTATATTCTCAGAATATTGTCATAAGGACAATATTCTGTAGCACTTCCAAGTAGTTCCTAATTGGTTGATATAGGCCATTATATCAACCAACGAAGACGCGCCACGACAGACGCACGCAATGAGTGGTGAGCAGATAACTGATTTACACATTTGTATTTAGACATAGTTAGATGAAGATAAATACTGATTTATTGCAGACATTAACTATTATAAATACAGTTCTACTTTTTACTCTAACCAAGTACTCGCTTCTTCTTACCGTCTTCCTCTGCACGTACGAGTGTACGTGAAGTTACGAGGCACCGCCTTATTCTGTTATCAGAATAAGTAGCTTGTACTGTCACCAGTACAAGCTTCAGGGTGCCCCGTTACACCTGGTAGCACTTCGTAGTCCGTCCAAGGACCGCGTTCACATCCAACATGAATATGTTGGATGATGAAGATGACCAAAGCTTTCACGCTACGCGTGACGGCTACTCCCATTTGAGCGATGTCGAATGGGATGCGGTTGAACGAATGGGTTCGACCATGGGCATCCATGCTGTTAGCGTCATGCTAGAGGCTCTCAATAGAGATGCCCAACATGCTACTATCGCCAAGTTCATTCAAAATGAACTTGACGCAGAACGCGAGAAAGTAGCCTTGCTTCACCAACAAGGTTCTCAACAAGCAGAGTTGTTGAGAGAACAAGGTGCTCAACAGTTTGAACTGTTGAGACAGCAGCAGGCTGCTGCTGGCGGGTCGATGCACTCGCGTCGGCCCGAGACTTTGAAGATTGACATCTCAAAGTATAGGGGGGTCGAAGAAGACTCCCTCTTGAGATGGTTCGTCGAATTGGATGACGCCATAAGGGCGCGCTGCAAAAGACACCAGACATCATTGACTTATATTAAAAAAACATCCCTGGTGTTTCGGGAGGACTTTCCTTAACTACGCGGCAGCTGGAGGGAAAGAAGCAACATTAGGAACGGATTACTGAGACTGTCTGCTGCAACAGCAATAGATCCAGCAAAATGCCCCTGTGGATCATCGGCAAGTACGCCACTCCTCGCATCTTCCGTTTTGTCAATCTCCAATACCTAGGATGTCAGTATCGCAGCAACAAGAACGCCTTGATGACACAAAAACATCTTCTTGGAGTGGCTGAGGAACTTTGATTGAAGGATGGCAAACTGCACAATGTTGCTGATACTGGACAATCGCAGCGCACCCGTCCCGCTTGCTGATCTGCCCCATCGGATCAAACCTTACAACACGACAATTTACTACCTTCCGCTCAACATAACATCAAAGCTCCAGCCTTGTGACCAGGGAATCATTCAAAACCTCGAAGCATGCTACCGGCGATGCTTCAACCGTAAGCTCATCCAGGTTCCGACAATAATGTAGATTAGCCGCAAAGATCAACATCCTTCATGCAGCCCAGATATCAGACTCAGCATGGGCTAACGATGTCCGCACTGAGACTATCCACAACTGTTTCCGGCACTGCAACATCCGGTCCAAACCAGCTGATGCTCCACCAGTCCTCGAGGGGCAGCGCCTTGACAGTACATTTATTAAAGAAGTGTAGCATCAGGATAGACGCTCCGGGTATACCAAGCCGATGGACATCCGAAACTTTCTCGATAATCCTGCTAAGCGGATTACATCGTACATTCCGGATGTGAATGACATTATTGGAGACCGCTTTTTAATTCAGACTGAGTATTAGCAGGATGACAGCCAAACATATGGAAAAATCGCTGTCGTGAAAGATTTAAAGGAAACTGAGTTGCTTGAGACATTCTGGCTGCAACAGGAAGGGTATGTGCATACTATATGAGGTCACTACAGCGAATGAAGGACGAAGTCGGGGGCTATCTACACAAATAAATGGGTTCAGCTTAGTATACGATACTTCTTTAGACGTGATTAGGTCTTACTTCACATCATTTTACAGAATTAACACTTTTTGTAAAGAAAAAATAGACGCAACATAAATTTAAAAAGGGACCTTGAATTGAAATGAGTACTCAAATCAAAGAGGTTTAACAATTGTTTAATGGGCCCGACCTTGGGACAGACGCTATTATTACTTTAGAGATATCATTGATTTAGACAGTATTTTTTAGACAGGTTCTACTGTACAAGTCAGGTACACCTAACCGCGTTAATTATAGACAGACATTGGTACACACACAGACACCCAAATAAGTACGACTTAAAGGTTCGGCATTCAACCTTGCGCACACTCACCAATAACTTCACCCTTCGAACTCGCAATAATATGACTTAAAATGTAATTTAATGCCCAGATTTATTGCCAAAGGATCAAGAGAAGATGGACCACAAATAGAAAAAATGTTTGGATCGAAAAATTAAGTAAAGTTTAAATGTGCCGTTTCGCATATCTTAATTCCATGTTCCGTCCATGAACATTTGTGTGTTTTACACGCATCCTTGTACAAAATAAAACAGCTCGAAAATTGAGCAGTAATTAAAAAATATATTAACGGCACCCATTGACAGGTCCTTTTTTCACGGGTGAAGTCCTGGATCTGTGTTTGTTGATGAATGAACTTATCAATGAATTAGGGTGTGAAACGCTACACATTTATGTTGTTTATCTCCAAACGAAAATGAGACCAGATAGACAGCAAATAATATCGCACGGTAACGCGGCTAAATACAAAGTGTTTAACGGGGTCACAAGACTTCTATCGTTTAAAAAAGGATCTACCTTTTACATGTGATATACAATCATAAGTTTAATCTGTGATGATCGATATAGTTTATTACCTCACTCATTCACAGATAACGGATTAATGTACCATTCATCACTCTGTAATATACTAAAGATTAATATGCGTATTAGTTAATCTTATTTACTAGATCGTTGAACTAGGTTTATCGATTATTCTAAGAAATTAAAAATCAGTTCCGCTTATAATGTTCAATTGACATGTGTGTATTTCCAGACGTCATTAGATCGTTGAGAGTAAGAGCCAGATTGAGACGTATACTCTGGAGCACATTGTGTGTACAACTCTTAGAGACGTTGTTAGTCCCTTGAAACAAAACCACTAGCTCTACGAGCTTTGAGACTCTGTGCGTCTGTGTTAATAGTTCAAAGAACTCAAAACTCGTTAGAATAAAATGAACTAAGCTCCGTAGAACTAAGTGACTTCTAGATTTGAATTCTTCCCATGACAAACAGCCATGAAGCTCCACTACATTTCTCTTTTATAACGAAGATCTTAGAAGCTCCACTACAAAGAGCGGCCGGCGATTAATGTTCAGTCCATGTTTAAGAGCTGTAAAATTGAGTAAGCTTCCACTGCCGTCGAGAGAGGTAGGTTCTCATGTTTTATTTTACTTTTGACTACGTACTACGGATGACAAAAATCACATTTTTATTTGCCCGAAGTGCTAACTTTTGCTGCCCTTGAGTGTCGAAATTTGCCATTTTCCTATTTCTCGCTCTTCGTAGCACTCATCTACATATGCTCGTTGGTTTGTCTGTTTGTAAGACCTTTCTACGCGGTCGCGAAAAGCGACCTGGGTAAAGAGTGGCACTAAACTACACATATCAGCCAACTGATGAGA